AAACTTACCAGTAACGAAGCCGAGCTTCGATTTTGCTCCTAGGGCAATCGTCATCGCTTTCCGCCATGGGAGGTAATTGGAGCCATTGAGAGGATGCGATATCAGATTCAAACCTGGATTATCCGAAGGTTGAAGATGAATTGCTTCATCAATCTGAGTTGTGGATCGCGATCCAGTCGCCCTTCCGTCGCTAGCGTTGAGAAGCGGCCAATCTCTGTTCCAAGCGTTCGTCGCCATAGCTCTAGATACCATGTGAAGTTACAGCTCGAGATATTATCTTTCTCAAGAGGAAAATATTTTCTGAATTTTTATTATGCTGTAAAAGATGGGAAGTACAAGCTATTTATAGTGACCAAAATACAACAAAACGTTAAGTGCGATTTTGTTACTATTTGACTGACTAAACACGCTAATAACTATTTGAAGAATTAATACTATAGCTAACAGATTCATTGTAGCACTGCAGATTTACTGTAGCCCTACCAATTTGAAATGGTCGATGTCACATCCATGGTCGATCACTGGAAATACGTTTCACCTAAATTTCGATTTGCAAAATCCAAAAAAAAAAATAGCGACTTACTGCAAAAATAAAAATGTTACGATTAAAATGCAAAAACGTAAATGATGATGCCTTTCGATTATAAAATGGAAGTAACAGAAGGGACCTGGGTGTGACTACTTCAGTTGCAAAACAAATATTTAAAACAGGGATCGACTCTAAGTACGTGCAGGTATATCTCAGATTTCATTATTTCCCTTTATATACAAAAACTATAAGAAACAATAAATAAATAGTTATATAGAAGAGGAAATGATAACACTTATACACACACACACACACTTTTTTTGCAAGCTAAGGTTCTGGGCATACATTTAGCCATTATGCTTGGTGTGATGCAGGATTGGTTCATTCCCAGTGGCTATCCGAAGCTATCAAAAGTGAGTTATCGGCTTAGCAAGCCCACGAAATAATAATTCTCTACATAAACAAATTTCCTATGCAGATGATGATCGTTCGTAATTTTGTATGCAAAGATTTTTTTAATAAATTTATTTTACTTTCGCCAGAGCATATCCTCGTACCTGAAAAGTTGCAGGTTCCTCCCAAAGCTCATCAACGAGCAGCGTGAACGAAATCCTGTCTACAAGCAACAATTAACCGGAGTCTCAATAATTTCGTATCGATCATGCTAAAGCACAAAACCTCAAGAATGAAAAAATATCGAGCACCACAAAATTATTTAGTATCTTTAAAAAATGTTAATAAACTCAGAAATCACGTGTGTGCAAAATGAGAATATGACACTGGTCAAGCCAAGAGAAATCGTATGGTTCGGAAATTATGCAGACGGAGATTAAAAACAAAGTTTGCAGCAACAAGAGGTACTAAGCTACATAACCCAACAAGTACATATACCCTGGCTAGAAAAATGTTGAATCAATACACTGAGTTCTCTTCAAATTCACTGCATGCAGAAAAAGCTATACCTCGAGGACTTTATTGGTTTGAAAATCTTGGATAAAAGTGGACTGCTCAAGTTCATCAAAGTGACTGGCAGTCATGTTCAACTATCGGATGACAATATAAAGAAGCACAATGTTCCATACCTTCAAGAGAAATCACAATGGCAGCTTACAAGTGGGGCCTCCAACATGGCAGCAGCAATTAGGCCACAGAAATGGACAGCACCTGAGAAAGTGTTGATCTAGAGTGATAGTTCTGGTTAGGGTATAAAAACAACTAAGGCAACATAGAAGATAATATAGAACATGATACAGCTGTGCTTTGATTTCTTCAATAGTTACATAAGAAGATTTCCAATCGTGCAATTACAACTTCTGAAGACATGCATCTGTCTGGACCGTTTTATGATGTCAAACAACAAAGTAAATCCACCGTGTGGAAGCTCCTATTATATTTACAGCATACGGAAACTGATCTCGATATACAACAGAATTGAGGATCTCTTACGGATAACAAGGTAAATAGTGTATCTTTGCATGATTCTACTTACAGTAAACAACCTGTACATCTTATGGCACGAAACGGAAACCCAACCACCTCAATCACACTAGTCCACTCGTCGCTCGATTGTGAAGTCTTTTGACCACAGTGACAGATGGGACCCACAGGTACGCGAGTCCGGTCAGGGCAGCTTCACTCACAATTCTGACCTGGTATACCAAGTTCACATCACCCCACACCTTATTTCTAACAAGCTCTGAGGCATTATCAGCATTATATCCATCAAGATCTGATTCAGTTATAACAACCATGGAGCAATCATCAAATGAGAAAAAATCCCGTGACCTCGGGCTTATGAAGGACATATTTATCGTGTGGCTCGATATACAACCACCACTGACCGCCAGAAGATAGAATTCTTGGACAGCCTGTAAATCATGGTTACGAATTGTAATTAAGGAATGCGCATAGAAATGGTACACTAATCCAGTTTTTCAACAAGACGACTCCTTCACATTTGAAGGTGAGACCCGTTGCCCAATAAAAATGGGCCCAATCTTATGGCGTGTTTGTATACAAATATATCCGCTCAAAATGAGTATTTTGGTAAACCGGTATTAATTATTGAAAAAGTTGGTTTAGTTAGTTGTTAGTGGAACTTTGAGATTATATTAAAATAATGTTTAAAATAAAATAATTAAAGTTGATTTGATGTAAAAGTATGAGAGAGATGATGTGAAGTGATGGTTAGTTAATATAATGTGAGTGGACGAATAGCAAATTAAAATTGATGTGTATAAGAATGATTGTTTGATATTATGTAATTATATTAACAATATTGAAGATAGTGGAGTTGGGTTAAAGTTGAGTTAGATTTTGAGTATGAATTGAGTATGAGTTGGATAAATTTATAAACAAACACACCCTTAATATCCCATCATCATTTAAGTGGGTTTCATTCTTCATGACATAAACCCAAGCCGATAGAGCAAATTGTCTGTTTAGCCATTATTCATGACATAAACCCAAGCTGATGTATGAAATCTTTGCACCAAATAATAAAATCCACAAACCTTCCATTGGGAAGATGCCAAGAGGACCCTGGGTCGTATAGACTTCACATACTCGTATGCGGCGGCAGGCATCATCTGCTTATATTTCACCTTCATTTGAAAAAGGGGTAAACAATTAGCTACTTAAAGGGACAAAAAGGGATAAATATTAATATATTTCATTCCCTACTCACTAGATAACAAATGACGATGGTTGTGCTGCGTCCACGACCAGCCTTGCAGTGTACATATGTACTTTGCTTGTGTAATGTGTTTTCTTTTATTTAAGAGGGAAAAAAGATGGACACGAAATACATCAGTTTATAGACAAAGCATAATATGTTTTAAGAGAAGGAATATAACAAGTAAATTAAATAGAAAAATGTGGAGAAATGCATAAGATATGTCATCAAATTGAAGAACACCTCCCAAAACTACACCCCATGAAAGGGCCTCAGACGATTAAACTATATCAAAAACATTTTATTTTATTTTTTAATAAAAAGACATGAAAATTTGTGTTGTAGATAAAACAACAAATACCGGTAATACCAATAATATCATCACTAGTCTCACAGCAGGACTGAGGTGATAATTACAAAATGATAATTAGTTGGTAGATACATGTAAGCAAATTAAGGGAAGGCAATTTAACTGACATGGAATAAAGTACACACGCTTTTAGTATTCAGTCAAATGCCACTATTTTCGCAGTGAAAAATGTTTAAATTTCTAGAGCTTCCTTATTCTGCCGACTGCCAGCTGCAAAGCCAAAGCCTAATGACAAACTACTGCAATTGTGAAAAGTATATGAGTACAGGAAATATGCTAATAACACTAAACAATCCTTACCATGAATGAAATCAACAGCCTGACATATATCAGCTAGTGATGGAGCAAAGAGGTAATCTCTTGTGGGAAGCACCAAGTGATGTATACCATGAGCCTATACAATTAAGAGCCACCAGTCAAAAAGCAGAATTAAAAAAAAAAATCAATATTAATAAATAAATTGAAGAAAAAAAAAGGCTAAGGAATAAACTTGGTTCACAAATCACAATCATTCATGTACAATCAATAAAAATTGCCTGTTTGAAGTTCCAACACTTGGGATCTTTTGCGAGGGAGAAACACTATGGATCATTAGGTAACCAGTGCGATTGATCAATAATACTAGTTCACTACTCCACTTTTATCATGGTCAAATACAAAACAGTTACTTCACTAGGTCCATAGATTTCTGGTTGAAGTTCACATAACCAAAAATAAAAATAAAACATAAATAAAATACAAGAGAAGAAAATGGCACACATACCTCAAAAAAGATGTAACAAATCTATTAAAAATCGCGTCTGATATAGAATATTTTATGATCCTAAGTCCTAACACACGTTCTATGAAAAAAAAATCAGTTGGGCACGCAATGAATCAAAACTCCAGCTATCCAGGGGAAAGAGTTCTCTGACAGCACATGCTTAAGTGTTAACGAAACTATCCACATCATAAAATATGATGACGGAGCTTCAGAAATCGGACGATAAAACGAATTCAAGATTCAGATTTGATAATTTCATGCATGTCCTTGGTTTCCTCTTTTCAGATGTTTAATCAATGTCATATCCATCATCAAAATAAATCAATGGAGAACATTGAAACCAGAAAGAACTTTTCACGTACCAAATATAAGAATACAAGTGAAACGAGAACTCACTTCATAGAGAGAGGATGGTACTAAAGTCTCATATGATTCATTTAAGGTGACAACTCCAATGACACCAAGCTCCTTCAGCCGGTGGATGTCTGAGGGGAATGGTACAGCACCTAATAGTACATACTAGAAAATGAAAATAAACAAATTAAGATTCAAATATGCCAACCTCCTTAATTTTCCGGAACGTAATACATTTTGATGTTTTCTATTCACAATCAGACAAGTTGAAATAGAAACTAATATGATAGACACGAAGCTAAAAACAGTTTCCTTCGAAGATGTGCTGACTTAGGTAATACATTTGCCTTCAAACACATTTTGTTTATTGTATAACCAAGACTTATTACTATTAAGCTATCAATACAAACATAATATATATTCTACACGTTGTAATTCCATATTAGAATGTAGTTTCCAAAACGCAGATCCGTTATTAACATCTGACTCCAACTAGAAAAGCAACAGAAGTGAATGTAATAAATATCCACCATACCTAGCCAAGCTCCACTTATTCATGCAGGTGGACTTAAACCAAACACTGACAGGCACACATCAACTAATGCAATTGACTAACCTATCAAGACCAAGAACTTAAACAAATATTTAACAAACAAGAAACAAGATTATTACGAAACTAAAGACTGAAGGGTGTACATTATCAATCCGATCCCACCAACGGAACTCCGCCTGAATCTTATTCCTGACGACATTGTAAAGCAAAGTCGGGTAAAAGAGGGCCCGTGCCCCAGCCCCAACTAAAATCCTCTTTGCATCCAACCATAGCACAATTGATCCATCAGCTTTACAGAGCACGTTCTCCTCCTCTTGCTCTGTCTCCTTCAACTCCTCTATATGCATAGCAAAATCTTCAAGGTACAATCTTTAGAACCTTAACCCCCCCAATAACCTTAATTATCCTCTTCAACCCCTATGGAAAACAACAGAATCTTTGAGAATTTCAACGAATTTACGACTTTCGGTACACAAATTGCAGACCACGATTCTCCAAATTAGACAGTATCAATCTAATTTACTAAAAAAAAAAATCATACACTAATCACCTGTATGCTACATGTATCGCAGGCTGAAATATATCGATCGAGGAAATTGTAGATCTATGCCATCTTTTGCCAAATGGAGAGGGTAAAATATCAAGATTATTGCTTCTCAAGGTACGGAAGACGGTGGAAAGGAAACCGAAATCATGGGCCGATTGCCATCGATCGACCTAAAGGAATTTGGATCAAATGAAGAATCTCAAAGTTTGGTAAGGAACCCTAATAGTCAAATTCAAGTATATATATATATTTTTCAACTTTATCCCAAATGCACGGCTTCTCCTGTTTTATAGGTTAATTGCCCTTCTCAGTTAAGGAAAAATAAGGAAGAGTTAAAGGTAGAGATGGCCACGGG